TGCCAGTGTTGCCAGATAGAGTCGAGGTTTTCCAGCACAAACATCTGTTAAAAACCAACATATTGCACAACAACCCACACAGTTAATATATTGTTATATTTACTATGTCGCCCTGTGTTACTAAGTCGCCCCCTTTTCTTTTAAGGTCTTTCAGCACAAAATTGCACAAATTTCAAAGGCAGCGTGTTTCACTCTGGTGAGCTTAATATTACTCTCCAATTTGTTTGGCTTCTGGATAGATGAGTCAGAGCAGCTCCTTCTCACTGCAGAGCTAAGTCCGACATGGTTTTTAGTCGTACAGTGTGAGCAGTAGTTGCGTGCAACAAAACATTCGCACAGTGTATGCCCGGCTTAAACGGAACAGTTTAGGCACTTATTACGGCAAACATCATGATAGAATAGTATGTTTACGTCTAATACTAGTCTGCACACTTCAGACTCATCTAGTGGTATTTCTGATGCAGTTTAGTAGATTTATCTGCTTTATTTAGCAGTTTTATGAAAAAAAGAGAACTCGGATGGAAAAATAACTGAAGTTTTTTTTTTAAAACTGTGCCCACTGGGACTTAAACAAGTCCGTACAACAGTCATGTCCACCTCAACTTTAAAGCGACACATGGAGTTAAAGCATCCAATCTATCTTGGGAAATATCTGCTACTGAATGAGGAACGTAAGAATGTACCTGAATGTACCTGTATGAACCTGAAGTTCTGTGTAATTTGGCTAAATAAAGGCTTCCCTGCACATACAGTATACCTTGACATCATCAAGTATTTTCCATTTCTCTCTTAATATCCTGTTCATACATTTAAAGGGTGAAATATGAGGTTATACTGTGTAGCATTGTGGCTTAATTTACCAAATTATCTAGTTGACTAGTTAGCTGGTGAACTTAGTTCATTTTTTGAAAAAGTAAACTATGAACGTGAGCTCGTTCATTTTCATAAGTATGAACTGAACGAGAGCTCATTCTTTTTAACTATGAACTGGCACAACATTGCTTACTACCCACATGAGACTTTTTCTGCCACTTCACACCAATACGAACGATGGACCTACTATGAGCCATTAGATGTCAGCGACATTTTTGAAGACATGAGTGCAGTAAAATGTCAGGGCAACATAGTTCGAGGTGGAAAATGAAGCTAATGAGGATGCAAGTCATGACAATTCATGAACACTCACAGACACTCAAAGGAAGGACACCTACCATTGGCATCACGGTAATAGGCATGAGTGACACTGCGGAAACGCTCCTGACCAGCTGTATCCCAAATCTGAGAGGAAAGATGGAAGACAGGGTTTTAGATGACCTATCGTTATAACACTGACATCTTCATCAAATAAAGCTGCATGTTAAACAAACATGCTATGCACACTGATTCAGAAATGAAGTATTGTTCCTTATCAGAAGTACTGGTAGAAATCATGCTGGTGTGTATTTGTTATTCATTTATTAAATTAATCCATATTTCATTCTAATGGAAAATGAAGTGCGATCAACTACTCTGATTAGTCAACTCTACTTCAACTATGCAATACAAATTAAAATGTCTGTTAAATTCTATGTATTTTATAACATATGTGTAAAGTAATCAGGAAATATCGCGCTTTAAAGTGACAGAATTAGCTTTTTTTCTGGTTCATATTTCTTCTTTCAGACTCAAAACAGAATAAGGCTCGTTTTAATTTTACTTTTAAGAAATTTGTTAGGAGTCGACAGAGGGAGTCTTATACAGTTAGCCCTTTGAAGCAGTCCTATCTACTTATAAAAAAACATTTAGTCCCAAATAGGTTTTTTTAACCTGATTTTTGCATTTATTATATTTCATATGATTTATCTTTTTTTTTTTTTTTTTTTTTTTATTACAAAAATTCTATTGCATCTATTACTTCCAGCTCTCCGTTCCCTCGGCCCGTCTTGTCACAATGTGGAACCGGGCATTTAGTCGCTCTGCTCCCCCCCTCCGGATCTCCGTACTCTGGACTCCTTCCCTCTTTTCAAATCCAGACTCAAAACATTCCTGTTCAGACAGTCTTATCCCATCTAGTTCATATGCATCACTCCAATATTGTTTTCTTCCTTTTCTTCCTTTGGCTTTATTTTATTTCCTGCTGTTTTGTTTTCTGTGGCATCTTTATGCTTGTACTTTTTAGCTTCCTGTTTTTAATGTTTTATCTGCCTGTACAGTGTCCTTGGGTGTTTTGATAAGGCGCTTTCAAATAAAATGTATTATTATTATTAGGGCTGCAACTAACGATTATTTTAAAAATCGATGAATCGGCCGATTATTTTTTTGATTAATCGATGATTCGGACAAAAAATATTTTTTATACTAACCTCTTTATTCCAAAATAACTGTTTTATTCGGAACAAACAAGCACACAAGTACAGGTTGCTCATTAACTGTACTGGTGCAATATGAAAAATAAATGTTTGTGTTAAAACTACGCAAACTTACATGAGA